AAAGTACCACGCTCACATGCTAGATGAAAGCCGAGTCCTGAAAGTTCAATCAAAACTTCTTTTCATAAAAAACGCTTGTCAGGGGCCTAAAACCCCAACGCCTTAAACCCAGACCTCTGAATGCCAAAACCCCTAAGGCCTAAACCCATAACCCCCTGACTTCTACAAGCCTAAACCCTGAAACCTTTTCTTGGCGAAACTGAAGGATCGTCAGCAGCTGCAAGACAAGCTGGAGCAGCTGGTTGCACTGTGGAGTGGCTCTGCTTCATAGGGGTTTGTTGTTGCCTTTTTGTAGGGGTGTAAAGAGGGGTTTATGCAGTTTATGAGGTTGAATAGGGCCTTTATATAGACCCTTGATAGATTTATAGGGTTTAATTTAAAGAGGGGTTTATGCGGGTTAGTATAGGGGAATTCGAATAAGGTGTCTTGGTGAAAAAATGTGGCTCAGAGAGTTTAATAGGCTGAATAGAGGGGCCCTAGTTCTTAGAACAGGCTCTTTGGGTACGGTGATATACGTGCTGTCATTCAAACCCCTACATTACCTTTTACACGAATGATGACCTACCCGAACAAACCCCGAAACTGTTCTGTGGGGTTGGTGGTGTTAGGTTCAACCCTGACTTTGGGATTTGTTGTTCTTGAAGGGCGGCTCCAGGCCATCTGTACTTGCACAGCAGTTTGGAGAGCAGCTCCGGACTCACCATGGCCGAGGGGGGTTCGTAGTCACTCTCACTGGCTGATCTTGGGTCTTTTGGGGATCGCGATGCGGGGTTTCATGAACCCTAAACTTAAACCCTGTGACGGAAGCATTCTATGGGAATTGCAAAGGAGCCTTAGGGCGAGACCATCAAATCAAAGTCGGATTTCCACAAGGTCCCAGGGCGAGATCAGAAGCTGAACAGTTTTGTTCATTTTTTCGGGAGCTTCTTTGGAGGAGGTTCAGTAGGGTTTGTGCTTTGTATCGGCTTTGGCCTCAAAAAAACACAAGGTGTAAACTCGGTTCCGTCTACTTCCACCGAAGCTGGGCACTCAGGAGAGGCCCGCAGCGTCGTGGTTTTCACTGGCGCGGGCAGCGTGGCTGATAACACTAGTAGCCTGAATCATCACCAATACTAGTGTTACTCTTGGGGTTCGCTATGCTAGTTACGCTGGTCTACTAGCAATAATGCACCCCCCCAAGGCCCAAAGCTCCATTCTATCTCTCGGACCCTAGCATCCAAGCCCGTCAGCCCTAAAACCAAAGTCTTCGTCTAGCCAACGAAGCAAGAAGTATCTCAGTCACTAGCATGCTATGAGAAGTTACTCGAAGAATATCCCGAAGCCGCCGAGACATCGCGCCGACGAACATAGTAGGAAGAGTTGAGAGGAGGAACATGCAAACCCTGGACTCAACCCTAAGGCCTGAACCCCGAACTCTAAACGCCAAACCTAGACCTTGGGATTTAGGATCAGGGACTCAGGTAGTTTTGGAGTTCGGAATGCGGCATCGCTGGACAGGGGACATCGTCATGTGGTTCGGAGAGCCATTCGGGCTAGTAGAATCAACTAGTTGCGCTCTGTCCTAAAGCCTCAATCGTTTAGAGCTTGGGCGCGAGCTTGCGTTTCGTGCAGGCTCCTCAAAGTCAGAAGCTCCCACCTGAGGACCTGGGAGTCAGGAACGGGCCTTGTTTCGCAGGGTCTTGTTTCGCAGATGCAACCAACCGAACCCGAAAGTTTATCTTCCGCACAGTCTGTCCTGACTGCAGAAGGTGCCTTTCCTCTTTGTAGTGGATACAGGAGACGCAGCGCCCAATTCTGTGTTCTGCGTAGTACTTTCTATTTGCAAGCCAGAATGAAGCATCATCTACCAATTCATCAGGATTTCACTCTTGCCGCGTATCAACATGTCGGCCCAAGTTCGGAGCCCACCGTCGAATCCGTTGTCAGGCATCAGCACGGCAGCCGGCCTACCCGATTACCGAGGCAGCCGTGTTGCACAGTGCGTTCGACATCGCCAGGTCATTTGTTGTTTGGTTTCTGCTACCAGTGCTAGCAGCTACCAGCATTTCGGTCGCGCCTAGTGACTAGTGCAGAGCGCACTGTTGCTGTGCTTCTCATGACAGTGATATACCCGAGCGGCTTCAGATTACTGCCAGTTGAAACTGAGGGGCATTCTGGAGGGCCTGTAAGGGTTTCAGATTGTGAAGGTCGTTAGCAAGGACACATAAAACCCCTTTAAGCCTTTAAGTCCCCCCCCATAGATCCACTAAGGCATCCTACAGAACCCAATTTGTTGAACCCAGCAGTAAAGGTCCTAAGCAAGAACCCAGACAAGGTCCAATCTATGCTGACAGAGCTTGGCTCACATATTCGTGGCTGATTGCTGCATCAGCTCAGCGCTGACGCGAAGATGCTATCCATTGCGGTAATGTATGTCACATAGACGAGTCCTTGACCACCCATCGAAACTTTCCATAACGCTGAGACCGAAACTTATCAGTCTCCACTGAGGCTTTTCGAAGCCCCTACTTGGAGGTTCATGGGTAGTTATAAAAGGGAATAGAAGCAGGGTAACTACAATTATAACCCATATTAGGGGACTTATAACCATACTTATAGCTACCCATGAACCTCCAAGTAAACCCTAAACCCAAAGGCCTTGAAACCCCAAAACTATCTGAGCACGTACCATGGCTCATTTCACACTCAAAAACTTATTTATGAGCTCGCCTGTCCCCTAAACCCTAAACCCCTAAACCTAAGCCCCTAAACCTAAATCCCCATACTTGAATCCTGAACCTCTAAACCCCCCAAGCCTTGGACCCCAGACATCCCTGGACCCCTCAACCCTTGAACCCCTAAACCCCTAAAACCCCAAAACCCCTAAACCCCGAAACCCCTAAGCCTCTAAACCCCAAACCCCTCCTCCTCCTCCCTAAACCCTAAACCCTAAACCCCAAGACCCTTAACCCTAAACCCTAAACCCTAAACCCTAAACCCTCCTCCTTGGCCTCTTCTCATCACGACGGACTCCGAGGGCCTCAGGGCGTTTGGACCCGGAAGCTGCGAGGAGAGGCCGTGGTGGACCTCGACCTCCATCAAGGCAGGTTTAGGGGGTTTAGGGTTTAAGAATCAGGG